CGTTGGGCTCGGCGCCGTCCCGTGAGGCGGCGCGTGCGAGCCTTCCCCCGCCGCTTCCCGCCTCCCCGCCGCTCCCTCAGGCCGCGGGGGACCCCGGCCTGGCTCTCCCCAGAGCTCCGCAGCGGAGCCGGAGCCCTCCCGGTCCCTCTGTTTCATGGACGCGGGGCGGTAGCATGCGTGAGGAAGAAGAGGCGGCCGCAGGCCTTGTTTGTGTCCGTCCTGGCGTCGTTTCCCTGAGATGCTTCTCCCGGAGCCCGTCAGACCGTGGCCTTGGGCTGAATTGGTGCCGCCCGGGTGTCGGGTGGCCCGAGGAGACCCCCACGCTTTGGAAATGGGCGTGTGGTTTTCTGCCAGAACACTTGTGCACACATCCCGTGAGGGTCCAGGAGCAGCTTTGTTTCAGACTTTGATTTTCTTCAGACCGTGCAGAGCTCCTCAGCGAGAGCCAGGGCCCGGAAGGATGAGGGCACTTCGTGATGTGGCAGCCTTTGCTTTGCAGAATTGGTGTTTTCAGGCCCACCTTTCTAATCATCATCGCCCCGGGGGCTCTGGGCTCACCTGGGTTTGTGAGACTTAAGTTAGCACTTTTTGAAAGTTTGACTTACTTAGCTGAAACTATGTTCTCCCTCTCCTGTTAAAATTCCCCTTGTACTTATGCTAATATTGCAGTGTCCCAGTGAAAGCCTATCTGCAGTCTTCTAATAGCTCTCCGGTAACTGGAGTTCTGAATAGAATTTCTCCTTGCCTCAGAAAAGATGCCTTGGCTTGTTTTTCTTCTTTTGCAAGCAGAATAGACAAGGGGCAGGGAAAGGTCAGGATTGTAGTAGAGTGCAATAACTATTCACTACCTCTTTATTAACAATCTTTTCAGATGAAGTTGGGGCTCTCGTTTTTGACATTGGCTCGTATACAGTGAGAGCAGGCTATGCAGGCGAGGACTGTCCAAAGGTGAGAATCCGTGTGACTCAATGGAAATCCAGCATGAATTTATGCCTTAGATCTTGATTTTTAGTTATGAATTTTCAGAATACGCTGTTTTTTGTTTTGACTGTGTTGCATAAGGAAAGCTCTGAATTTATGAGAAAAAAAAACACCCAAAACATTAATAATTCTCATATACTATTTATCTTTTGCCTTACAGGTTGATTTTCCAACAGCCATTGGTGTGGTGCTAGAAAGGGACAATGGCAGCACTCTGATGGAGATAGATGGTGACAAAGGCAAACAAGGAGGCCCAACTTACTACATAGACACCAATGCCCTGAGAGTTCCAAGGGAAAACATGGAGGCCATTTCACCTTTAAAAAATGGAATGAGTATGGTGCTCTGTCTTTTTCTACTTGTTTTTAAAATAGCATTGCTAGATTGCAAAAAGTCCTAGCTCTCATGTAAATAGACGCTATTAACAGAAGCCTTAAGAATAGATGCTTGATTTACAGATTGCATGAAGTATAGTTGGTTCACAGTGTTAGTGAACTTTCAGCATAATTCTTGAAATGTTATGATCATGATGGTTACAGAGGAAGAGAATTTCACAAAGATATTAAAGGAGATATGTGTCTGCTGAGGATAGTTTTTGACTGAAGAGCTCGACGCAAAAGAAACCCAACCATTGGAGAACCTTTATGTATTTATGAAATGGAACAAAACTTAGAAGTAACTAATCTGCTCACATCGATGTTGTTATAGTTGAAGACTGGGATAGTTTCCAGGCAATTTTGGATCACACTTACAAGATGCATATTAAATCCGAAGCAAGTTTGCATCCTGTCCTTATGTCTGAAGCACCAGTAAGTAAAAGCGGCTTTGCATTTTGATAAGTCTTAACTGTATATTCTTGCTGACTCCACAAACATTTGCATGAGTTCTATTAGAAAGTATTTTCAATGTGCTATTGTTTTTTACTTATAAAAAAAAAAGTAAAAAAAAAAATTCGCACTGCGTGGAATAAAAGCAAAAAGATGTTTGTATGTTTTGTTATGTATTAAGTTACACTTAACAAAATGCCATTGAAAAACTGTCACTTGATTCAGCCTTACAACTCATATTATGTGACAGAGAATAAATAATATTTATAATGGAGAAAGTTTAATTTTTTCTGTCTTCATTTCTGTTAACGGCCTTGTAAGGTAAGTGAAATGGATGAATACAAATTTCTGGGAAAACAAGCAGACGAGATTTCTGTCATTTAATAATGCTCAGCATTCGAAAGGCGGATCTTAAAGTCAGAATACTGAAAGTAGACATGCCATACAAAAGTTATGCCATTCTTTCATAAAATCTTATGAAAATTATTTTCTTTTTCATTATTCCCTTGTGTTGAATTGTAGCTTGTGGAGTAAGGATGAATTTGCAATGATTATTGCATTTTTGGTGGCTCAGTGGGTGTCTTGAGTAGAGGTTCCCATTAACTTTCTCCTTACAGACCTAATCTTAATTTAGTGTATCGACTTGGAAACAACTTGACATTTTCAGTAGTATATAGAATACTTGATATATATCCTGGCTTAATCACAAGTGCAGTAGAATTGTAGGAAGATACCTTGGAAACAGGAAAATCTGGATTTATTTTTCTTTCAACTGGGCAAGTTATTTCATGTATCTTTCGCATTGTAAAATGAGCATGTTACTTGTTTAAGAGAGTTCTTTGGGACACTGGTACTGGAAGAGCTGTAGAAGTGCAAAGAACTCTCTGTTGTAACAGTGAAAGTATATTTCACTATTAGTTCTATGTGATAGAAAAACCTTAATGTATTGTAGAATTGGAATGAAAAAGGTTCTAAAGAAGTAAATTACTAGAAATCTGTCTCTCTAGGATTTTGGTGTGATTTGAAACCGTGGCTATAATAATTCCAATTACTTCTTTATTATGTTGGCATTCTTTTAGTGTGCCCAAGATAAACATACCTTCCTTTTGGTCACTTATTTGTGGTTTGGTTTGTTTTTTTCTTCTAGTGGAATACTAGAGCAAAGCGTGAAAAACTGACTGAGCTGATGTTTGAACACTACAACATCCCTGCTTTTTTCTTGTGTAAAACTGCTGTTCTAACAGCGTATCCTTTGAAACGTTTCACTGCTTTCCTCTGCCCCAGGGAATACGGTAAACTTATTCTAGGCAGTTCCTAGTATAACACCATGCCTGACTTTTCTTCTTTCAAACTGATTTTTCTGTAAACATCTACAAAGGAAGTAAACAAATTCCGTTTCTGAAGTTTAAAGCTTTAGAGCTCAGTTTTGATTTTCTCCCAATCTGACTGTTTTCCATGGAGGCGATGTCTTTTTTGGGGGGGATCTTTTTTATTTTTTTCCCTGGGATCTTTTTTTACTTTTTCTTCCCATTGTATACCATAGGTAAGAATATTAGAGACCTGAAATGGTGTTGTCCAGACTACTAAATACAGTAATTAGAGTTTGAAGTTCCCGTAGCCTTAAGATGAATATTTGTAATTATTTTAAACTAATAGCATGTTTTCAGCCTTGGAGTCTAAATGAGTTGTGTGTACTTAGAGCTTGCTGCATAGTATTGACGTGAAGTCTCACCGTTGTACATCCAAGCTCAAGTTACGTCACAGATAGAAGTTAAATGCCGTTCTCTCTAGGAGATTGTGTACTTCATAAAAAGAAGATGTGCTCTGGAAAACGGCAAAGCCAAGGAATAACACATCTGGGTCCTCATTCCTAGTTATGCTCTAATATGCATGGCAACGCGTTTTTCTAAAGTGAAAATTACAGTATTTTCCTTAATCATATTGGCTAGTTTTGCTAATGGGAGATCTACAGGTCTCATTTTGGACAGTGGAGCAACACACACCACTGCTATTCCAGTGCATGATGGATATGTACTTCAGCAAGGTAAAAATTTTCACAGGTAACAGCATTGTAGTACCAAGGTGGAGTTAGCTTGCTTTCTGCTTTTACAGCTTTGTTGTTGTTTTTAAATCTGTGTATCCCCTTAAATATGTAAAAATATGTAATGGTGTTCACTGACAAATAGTTTGTTGGGAGAGTTTATGCGTGATTTTGGTGCTTTCCAGGTTGGTGGGGTTTTTTTTGATTCTCTTTTTGTCTTCTAGGTATTGTAAAATCACCACTTGCGGGAGACTTTATTACTATGCAGTGCCGGGAATTGTTTCAGGAAATGAACATAGAGATAATTCCTCCATATATGATTGCTTCAAAGGTGGGAGAGTAACTTTATTTAGTAAGTGTTTGCTTTGGGAGACACTTAAATGGTTAACTGATGATCATGTTTCTTACAATCTCAGGAGGCAGTTCGTGAGGGATCACCAGCAAATTGGAAGAGAAAAGAGAAGTTACCACAGGTCACTAGGTCTTGGCATAACTATATGTGTAATGTAAGTAACTAAATAGGTCGTTTCTTCCACTCTGAAACTTTCTTAGGTGTCCAATAAAGAAGTTTTTTGTTTGCCAGTATATGAGGTTTTCCTCTTGAAGAACTAGAAGATCTTTAAAAAGTCAGTATCAATTCTATAAATTCTATAAAACTGAAGAATGAAATTCTTATAACCATATTATGCTTAACTCCATAGTGTGTGATTCAGGACTTCCAAGCTTCTGTCCTCCAAGTATCGGATTCAACCTATGATGAACAGTACGTCACTGTTTTGCTTCTTGTAAAATTAATTACCAGTTGTCCATTGCTGTTGGCTGGTTTTATTACAGAAGTAGTTTTTAAGTAAAATCTGTTTATTTCTGAAAGTAGAAATACAGTGTACATCCAGATGACAAATTTTTTTATTTAATATCCCAAGATGCATGAGATCATAATAAATATTATGGAAAGTGTAAGTCATATTAAACTCAATATTCCAGTTGAAACTTTGGTTTATAATGCCACTCAGATAACTTAACATCCTGTTTGTGTTGCACTTCAATATGTTACTTTCTGACTGATGCCCCAGGGTAGCAGCGCAGATGCCGACAGTTCATTACGAGTTCCCCAATGGCTACAACTGTGACTTTGGTGCTGAGCGTCTGAAAATTCCTGAGGGATTGTTTGACCCTTCTAATGTAAAGGTAAAGCAACTATGATTCGTAGTAGTTTGAAGGCTTTAAATTACTGATTATCGTGTGGCTTCCTTTTGTGTGATGTTCTTAGTTTCATGATTTTTATATATGGTTCTCTTGGAGGTACAATTTGCCTGTGTTATTTCGGAGTTGGGATAGCAAAGGATGAAAAGTAGTTCGCAATGGGTGGTGATGAGCTGAATGGGAAAATAGCAATTATTTTTTTTCCCCTTCCCTAAGGAATGCTTAGCTTCCTCTCTAGTAATATTTGTAAATTCAACTCATTCAATGCTCCTGTATGCCTTTCTCCTTTGAAGTGATGATGTGTAGATTCCTAATTTTGATTCTAGGGTTTGTCTGGTAACACGATGTTAGGTGTGAGCCACGTTGTCACGACAAGCGTTGGAATGTGCGATATAGACATCAGGCCGGTAAGTGTTAGTCAGACGTGTATTATTTTAGGGCATAGATATTTTTGTGCTGATGTAATTTTTTGGGACTTGAACGCTGTTGATGAAGTAATGTGGATTTCCAAGGATAATGATAAACATGTTAGAATAATTCTCTTTAAGTATTACATATTTGTATCTAAGAATACGTACAATTACTGTTTTGTCTTACAAAATGCTAAATCAGGATTTTTTACTTTTACTCAGCGTTTGTACCTATATTTAAATACCTAACGTCCAGATTTTGGCTGTCATTGCATAACGTGCATTGAATTGCCTTCAGATGAGCATTTTATGAACAGAACTTTGAGTGTTATCTTCAGATTCTTGGGCGTGGCAGAAATACTTTCTAAACATAACCAATCATACAGAAATTTTGTAGAAAGAAGGAAAGAGGTTTTAAAGGAAAACTTTTTTTTAAAAAAAACCCTCTATGTTCTAACTTTCTCAGGTGTCAGTTTGAAAACATTCAAGCTTGATACAGACTGCATGAGGATTGTTTCAAAAATTTTTCCTCTGAACTGGTGTGTCAGGCTGGCTGAGTAGGCCAGGCCATGATGTGTGTTCACCAACTGCAGCATTAGTGAGATTGAAAACTGTTGTAGCACTGTGGGGTTTTTCACTGTGGTCAGGACGTTCAGCTGTAAGAAAACTATTTGGATACAGGAGGTATCTAGGTGTAAGGTTCTCTATAGTTCTGTAGTAGAAAATATCTGTGAAATAATTTAATGTCAGTAATCTCATAGCTTCTGTCTTCCTTCTATAGTTAAATGTCAAAGTGTCTTGAAATATTTTTCAAGTGATTAAAAAAATTAATTGGATTGTGAGAGGTAATAAGTTGGCATCAAGCGCTGTTGATTATATGTACTTGTGTGCCATTCCTCTCTGTTCTGTGAAACAGTTGTTTTCAGAATTATTTCAGAGTCAATACCTTAGATTGCTTATTCTTTTTTTAGGGCCTCTATGGCAGCGTGATTGTAGCAGGAGGAAACACTCTAATACAGAGTTTCACAGACAGATTGAACAGAGAGCTCTCTCAGAAAACTCCACCGGTAAAAAAACTTGAAATTACTGTGTTAAGTTACTTACAACTTTGCTTTTCTGCAGCATAAATACAAACCCATGTAAGATAGTTTTGACTTTGTTAGGAACCACAGAGTAGAAGAGATTTTCATAGAGTAAAAAATCTCCTTCCCTAACAAAAAGAAAGAAGTCTTGAAAAGTTCTTACAAGGAATTAATTCCAGCAGATACTGTAACTGCTTTCTGCATCTCCATTC